TAATATTTTGTGTCAGGCTGAAGATCCACAGGAACTGCACAATGCCCGTCTGTCACATTAATAACCTGCAGTCCAGTTTCGTTCATTAAAGTGAAGGTTTGTGTCTCTGTGAACGCTTGACCTCACAGGACGGTGGTTATGCCGATCGCTAGCGAGTTTGCTCCAGATCTGGTGCTGGTGTCGGCAGGGTTTGACGCGGTGGAAGGACACCCTCCTCCGCTGGGAGGATATAAACTCACCTCCAGATGTAAGCTTTACTATGAACTCACTTGTGTCCGGCTGTATTTGTTGTTTGGATGGTTTCAGTAAAAGCCACCTATGTGGGTGTGTGACAGGTTTGGGTCACCTGACTAAACAGCTGATGGGGTTAGCTGGGGGTCGAGTGGTGCTGGCGCTGGAGGGAGGTCATGACCTCAGGGCCATATGTGACGCGTCCGAGGCCTGCGTCTCAGTGCTGCTGGGGATAGAGGTAAATGAGTTCCCATCATCCTTTGCTTTGTAAGTTTTCATTTGCGTAAGGCGACTTCTTGTTACAGATAGAGTTTGATTGCTTGTGTTTTTGTGTTGAACAGCTAGAGCCGCTTTCTGCAGACATCCTGAAGCAGAGACCCAATGAAAACGCTATGAGCTCCATAGAGAAAGTCCTAGAAAATCACAGTGAGTCATTCAGATCTTCATTTCTTTTCAAGAAGAATCGTTTACTCCTGTCAAATATTGTTCCAGGTTCCGTATGTCTCACAGTGGACAGCTACAGTGCAAAACGAACATTAAAATACAGTTTGACCGTTAGCGCTAGTGTGATCGACTCACTCACTGACCTCTTCTCTGTGTGAATATTTTTTATTTTATATACAGACCCCATAATCCAGAACGGTTTGTGTTGCGGTCGAGATGAGCTGTACATGTTCTCAGAACCCTGCGAATCAAAGCCGTGATCGACGCCATGCTGAACTCTGAATTTGGCTTGTTTTTACAAACTGAAGGACGATGTCAGTGGAGCTGAACTGATGCTGGAAGGGTCCTGTGGAGCTGATTGTGTGTCCTGTTCTCTGTGTTTAGGTCAGTACTGGCAGTGTGTCCAGCGGGTCGCGTCCAGCGTGGGTTTGTCTCTGCTGGAAGCTCAGAGAGGCGACTCTGAGGAGAACGAGACGGTGACGGCAATGGCTTCTTTATCTGTCGCAGCATTGGAGAAAAGGTACATCCGCTTTCCCTGCTTTCTT